CTTTTTGGGATTACCTTGTAGAATTCAAATACGAACCCCCAAAAGGAACTACTATGGGGCCTTAGGGTTGAGACCAGCCAGACAGAATAACCCTATCCGACCCACTCCTATTCGGGTCTGAGCTTCGCTTATCCGAACTGTAAGCGGGCGAGTAGTCATACATTCGGTGGTTGTCAAAACTATGGTCCCTTTTTGGGGTCCGTAAAAGAGTACGGCACCTAATATTTAGGGTACCCAAAAAGAGACCCTAATTTTGATAACCACCCCGATGTTTCCCGGCACCTAGATCACCGAAGACATCCTCAACCGTGCGTCAGGAGATCTCTTGATCGATCCCAGTCAGCGCAGGGACTCTCAGGGGGCTTTCAGTGTGGTGGGGAGGGCCTGAGGTGCAGAATTTTATGCAGGTTTTGGGGGTGGTGCGAAAATCATGCCTCCCTGAGTCTGATGATATGAGCCCTCTGTTTAGGGTTTCGGGACAGACTTCTAGAACCCAAAGTTTTGGGATTCGGAGATGATAGCTGTAATGCTGTGGAAAGTGGCAGAGGTTGCGATCCGTATTAGAGTATACGCCAAATGATCAACCCTAAGGAATAATCATGGCAAAAATTCTAGCCGTGGTAGAGAATCATGTCCCTGGGCTTTCCGTCTTCCGGTGCCCAACGCGAACCCGAAACACAGAACCCCAAACTTCTGAGCCGTAACCCCTGAACCCTTAACCCATTTCTCACCTATAGTCTCCATGGTAGTTCCTTTTTTTTGGTACAGCCAAATATATAATTAGGATCCTGTAAGGTAACTCCAAAAAGGAACTACAATGGAGACTATAGGCAGAACCCAGAAATCCAAGCTTCGGAACAAGCTGCCTACAGTCCTTGAGACCTCAACAGGGTTTGGGGTTTAGGGTTCAAGCCCATCCCCTACTTGGGGACTGTGCACTGTTGATACAGAATCCTCAATAATTAGGTAACCCAGTTCCATTCAAGTCCCTACGGTTCTATGTTATACAATCCACCAAAACCCTACAGCAGAAGCCCGAAAGATGGAAACCCAAGTGGCCTCGATCCTCGGGAGTAATGTATGGGGAATCCAGCACTACTTGGCCTAAATCCGGTTTCCAACTTTGTGGGCTCTATTGTACCAACTACCAAACCCTACCTTTTTGTAGGTTCTTATTATAAACCCTAATATGGAATTTATAGGGACCTTACAAAAAAAGTAGGTTTTGGTAGGTTAAGGTATGCGATAAATCTGTGCAGAACCCCGATCCTGGGCCCGCCTTCCCTGCACAAGGTGCGATTTTGGTCGACTTCATGGTAGGCCGCCGGGGATACTATAGGATTCCCTTAGGGGTTACTATAGGATTCCCTTAAAGGTTACTATAAGGGGTATGATATAGGGCTCCTGCTTTAAGCGGGTTAGTTAGTATAAGGGGAATTATTATTCGACTTCATGGTAGGCCGCAGCCTGTTGATTCTTGGAGGAGCGCCAACGGAGCAAATCTCACCACACAATAATTAAATATATCTTTCATATGTAGACAGTTTAGTATCATATATATATATATATATATTTATTTATTTATTTATTTATTTATATTGCATTTTCTTACATCTCAAAAGATTGATACTTGATATCTTTCTCACATATACTTGCTGCATCTTACTGCAAAAGGATATGGGTGGCTGTCAAAATTAGGGTCCCTTTTTGGGTCCTTATTACAATACGGCACAAAGGGAGCATAATTTTGACAACCACCCACATGCCTACAGCGAGACACTGGGTGGGGTCCCTACGGTGCTGAGGCTCACGCGCTCTGCAGCAAGATGCACCTAAACCTTCCGGTCAAGGGCTTACCTAAACCTTCTTGCAGGGTCGGGGGACTTAGTAACTGGTTATTTTAGGACTCATAAGTACCATAACCCCAATTAGGGTCCCTTTCAGGGTACTTATAAGTCTACTTACTACCGACTTACTAACTCCCCCGACCCTCCAAGTATTGAAAGTAGGTAGAATAATAGCCCAACACCTATGAAAGGCCATTCTTCTAGATAGTTTCGGGGTCCCAAAAACATTGGGTTAGGGTTTCGGCCTTCCAAATCCCGCATGCTTAAACCCAACGAGTCCGACGTGTCTGGACCTAACTTGGAGTTAACGTACAGGGCATCGGGTTTATGGGGCTTACAGGTTTGCGCCGTAATACTGTCTATCGGATTTCTATACTTTATAGGGTTCCTTCCAGCCATGGTCGATCTCCGATAGCAGAGATAACGTTGCACCCTGGCCCGACGTTGGGTTTAGGGTTTGGCTTTCGGGTTTAGTGTAGGGCTTCCGGTTTTGGGATCCGCCCTACGGCGAATCTCCCGAAAGGGTCTAAGCTTCATGTGGTTCACCAGTTTGCGGTGGGGGTTTAGGGTTTAGCATCAAGGATACGGTTTAGGGTTTAGCGTGTAGGATCCCTGTAGTTGCGGAGAAAACCAGATGAACAAAAGACACAAAAAGTTGTTGTGTAGCTGCAGGTGTCTCCCACTCGTCGACCCTGTGCTTACCCTTACAGTCTTGTACATTGGGTTGGGCTCGGTTCGGCACTGTTAGTCTTGCGGTTTAGATGTACATACACAGCTCTTAGTTACTTACCCTGTGCCTATCACGTGCTTCGACTAGAATCGCTGCAAAGCCGGCCAAGGGTTCAGTTCAGGGTGTATAGGGCTTACCCAAAGGCCCCAAAGTAGTTCCTTTTTGGGGTTCGTATATAGAATCCTATAGGGTAATCCCAAAAAGGAACTACTATGGGGCCTCTATATAGGGCGCTTATAGGGCTTCGGGTTTGGGGCTTGTGGGGTGTTGGGTTCAGGAGGACACTGCCCCACAGCCCACCGCTTCCCAAAGCCTCCTAGCCCTGAGAAGCCCACGGGTTTAGGGTTTAGGGTTTACAATTTCGGGCAGTCTTCCTTGGAGCCGTGGGTTTTCTGGTTGTAACCTAGTGAACCTAGTGTGACAAGCCTCCAAAACCCAACTCTTATCATTAAGGGGCGGTGCTTGAGTTTTGTTTTGTTTTATCGAGATATTTAGGGTCGAAATAAGGCAACTTCTGAAGGTTCCGGGTCTAAAGAAAATGCCGCACACGTAAACACAGACAACAAGGAGTCGCACTTCTTTCCGGTTGAAAAAGCTGCTCTTCATCGTCGTACACTGGATATATACCGCATTGGAGGACTAGCTACGCAGAACAGAATCAGCTTGCAACGGTTGACGGTTTTCTTGGAATGGCCGTACAGCTTCAACTGGTGTAGTTTTGTTGTGTGAGCTTGTGGATCAAGTGCCCCTCTGTGCAAATGCTCCGATGCTTTGTTACAGTCAGCCTATAGACGGCGAGTTTCGTGTCTGCACCTCATTTTTTTGGTAGCCTTTGTAGCTTATATACTTCATTGTGCAGTATCGATGTTTCTTGTGTGCTTGGCTTTGCTTTCTTCAAGGCGGCCAGTTTTGCCAGGGTTTGTTCCAAGTCTGGCAGGACAGCCCCTCCCACTGGAGCGGGTTCAAGAATGCAACGACCCGTTAACTGGTAGTTCTAAATTGCAAGCTAGCATCGCGTTTTCGTCCTTAGGGATCAGCATCAGCGAGAACCGATGCGGTGTCATGTCACTGGGGTGTTGCAGCGTAATTACAACAACCACAACAACAACCACCACAACAACAACAACAGCAGCAAGAACAACAGCAGCAGCAGCAACAGCCAACAACAGCAACAACTGTTATTAGTATTGTCATTACCACTACCACCACCATAACCCCTACTACTACCACTACCACTACTACTGCCACTGCCACGGCCACTACCTACCGCTAGCACTGCCACTACCGCTGCTGGCTGCCGCGACCGCGACTACGGCTCCGACTACGACGACAAAACTAAGACTACTAGCAGTAGTAGTTGTTGTACTGCTGCTACTACTACTACTACTACTACTACTACTACTACCACTACTACTACTACTACTACTACTACTACTACTACTACTACTACTCCTGCTACTACTACTACTACTACTACTACTACTACTACTACTACTACTAAAGACTAACGAACTACTACTTACGACTACTTAGGACTGCTCAGGACCACATACGATTACTTGCGGCCACATACGACAGTTTAAGGCTACTTACGATTTTTTACGACTACTAACTATTGGTAACTACTAGCTACTAACTACTGACTACTAACTAGTAACTACTAGCTACTAACTACTAAATACTATCTACTGTAACTGTTAACTCGTAACTTGTGAATGCTAATTATTTACTGCTACAAACAACTAACTACTAGCTATTAACCGTTTTCACTACTACTACTACTACTACTACTACTACTACTACTACTACTACTACGACTACGACTACTACTACTACTACTACAACTACTACTACTGCTACTGCTACTACTACTACTACTACTACTACTACTACTACTACTACTACTACTACTACTACTACTACTACTACTACTACTGCTACTGCTACTGCTACTGCTACTACTACGACTACTACTACTACTACTGCTACTACCACTACCACTACTACTACTACTACTACTACTACTACTACTACTATTACTACTGCCACTACTATACTACTACTACTACTACTACTACTACTACTACTACTACTACTGCTACTACTACTGCTACTGCTACTACTACTACTACTACTACGACGACTACTGCTACTACTACTACTACTGCTCCTGCTGCTGCTGCTGCTGCTACTTCTACTGCTACTGCTATTGCTATCACTACAGCTTATTTTGCTACACCTATTTCTACTGCTATTACTACTACCGCTAGTTCTACGACCACGACGACGGCGACTTTTGCTACTGCTACATTGTGCTGGGAATCGAGGGCCGATGTTTGGGACCACCATCTTGCTAATCTTGCTACTCTGGCAAATCTTGCAAATCTGGCAATCTTGACCCGTCAGTGGTGCAAGTGGCGCAAATGGTGGAAGCGGTTCAAGCGGTGCAAGTGTTTCCAGAGAAGCAAGGCAACATGGCCAAGATTGCCCCCTCCCCCGCCCCAAGTGGTGCGGGTGGTAAACAAGTGCAAGCGGTGCCAGTGATTTGTTGGCAAGCCTGGTGTCAATGTTGCACCCCCTCGCAAAAGCAAGATTGCAATGTTGACGGTACGATCTTGGTCGAATAACGGAACTCTTTTCCCAACACACTGAACCCAGTGAACTACTACTATTACTGCTACCACTACTACCACGATTTTCCATTAAGTTCTCGATTGCTACTTCTACTGCTACTACTACTACTACAACTACTACAACTACTAGTACTACTACTTCATATTAGTGCCGCTGGCTGTACTACTACTACTACTACTACTACTACTACTACTACTACTACTACTACCACTACCACTACCACTACCACTACCACTACCACTACCACTACCAGTACCAGTACCACTACCACTACTACTACTACTACTACTACTACTACTACTACTACTACTACTACTACGATTACGATTACCACTACGGCGGCCACTACTACCACTACTACTCGCACCACTACCTCGACCACCACCACTACCTCAACCCGCACCACCACAACAGCAACTACAGTTATTCTTGCCAGCACTAACTATTACTATGATTAACACTGCCGACCATGATCATTACTAGTGCAACTTACATCTCCTTTGCTGTTCTCATTCCAATGAAAACGATTGCTTTGTGCATGCGTTATCGCCGAGAGTTGGTATTTTGGGGGCGTGAGTGTGTGCATGTATCGTCAAGTTGGCAATTGCGTCTTTCCGAGCTTGAAATCCCTCGGTGCTCACAAGTCTCCCACGGCCTTGAAAGCCGAAACCTGCCCGAAACAGGCTTGTCGTCACACATTAGCCTGCGGGACAACACCGTCCACTTGGCTGTGGCAGTCGGAGGCTGAGCGGAGACGTTTCGTCAATGAAGATTCACGGTCAGGAGTTCAGATCTAGCAGCACGACAGTCGCAAGATTGAGTCGGTTTCTGCGAAATACGGGCCGTGGCAGGGCGTCAGGATTTTGTTTCCAGAGTCAGAAGAGCACCAACAGCAACTTCCCACTTAATAAACTGCATGGCATTGTGTTGTTGTCATTCTTTACCAATAACGGTTCAGTACGGTTTGGTTTTAGAACCTTTCCGACATGTATGGATTAGGATAACCCACCAAAGGTAGCGGACCATGAAGTCTGCGCTGTGATGCCCCTGCCAACGATATTCTGTTTCGTTGTTGGCTTTAGGACGCACCGTCCAGGCACCGGTGAAGCAGCAGAAGTCTAGTGCTTATGTCGTGAGTGGTTCGTTTGCCGAGGTGCTGGATAACTACTTCACGCTGCCAGACAAGCCGTCCGACCTAGCTGAGCTCAAGGCGGGACGATAAGCTTGCAACGCCCTAACCCAAACCGTCAAGAACCGCAACAGCAGCCGCATTATCTTTCTCAAGGGAGTTGCTCTACATCTGCTACAAAAGACTGAAATATCCTGAACTGATCGTAGTAGTATTTCCGCCTCAAGGTTCCCCAACACATGTCTCGCACGAAGCTCTCAAAAATATTTTATTTGGGCGTCTCTACTCGGGTGTAGGAATTACCAGCCTAGGTTTTTACCGCTGAAAACTAAACCTCAAACCCCAGGCCCTAAACCCTAAACCCCAGCCAACTTTCGTGAGCTCTTCAGCGCTGGTCCGTAAACTCCTGATCTTCAAATGCTGGCATGTTTTGTGTTGTGAAGGTTGTTGCTGCCACTTGCTTAAAGGCTGCAGCCTCAGGGGCGTGCCAACAGTTCAAGGGTGTGGTTGCAGAGTTTTCGATTGACAAGTGCAGTGCAGTGCTGCGTGTTTGATCACAAGGGTCCGGAAGGGGTGGGCAGGGCGGGGCAAGCAGCAACAAGCATTCCACACTGCACCAGCTTCAGGCTAATATAGGGGCCGAAGTAATTACCAACACTATTGTGGGGGTTCCTTATTGTAATAACAGTATAATGGGCCCCAAAACCCTATTCTTACTAATTATGAAGTCCCCTATATTACCTGTGAACGCTCGGTCTCCTGTAGTTCGCGCACGTGAGGGTTGCCTCCCTGCCACTTTGCTTTAGGGGTTTAGGGTTTAGGGCCTCCGGGCCAGGTTCTTCACAGCGGTTCAGTTGCTTTCCTCAAGTTAATCACAGCTCGTTTTTTCGTTCGGATATCAAACAAGTACGCTTCGTTATTCGGGCACGAGAGTTCGTGTGAGTTGCTGAATTGCACCAGTTGTTTCGACCTGAGCACAAGCAAGCATTGCTGCTGCCATTCACTGCTAGTCATCTCACTAGCAACGATGGGGCCGATCACTCGTTTGCATTGCGAAGGCTTCAAGCTATAGGACTTTCGTCACTAAGTCAGATATGCATTGATGCAAAAGTTGCACATCATCACTTCGTCGCTGTCGCTCTAATCAAGCGTACAGAGGCAATGACTAGCGGTGACAGGAGCAATATATCGACGACGATGATGATGATGATGATGATGATGATGATATGATTCCTTTTGATCCTTCTGATTTGTGTTTTCTCTGAGTCTGACACTTGCCCACCCCTTGCCAGTTCCGGCAGCATAGCTGTGCATAGGCCTGAGTACCGCCATGCCTATGCTGCCTGGGCCTATACTCCTTCATGTAGCTCTTTGGTTGCTAAGCAAGCTGCTGGTCCCTGCAATCGAGGAGACGCTCAACCAAGAAAGAGCTACAGAGGAGGGTGCATGTGGGCATGTGGTTGCTAAACCTAACCTCAAGCCAGCATAACGAAGGTCTGCGACGTGTTTGCGGAGCAATCCAAAGAGTCGGGCGCTTCAAATCAGGGCATTTCTTGCTAAACCTCTAGAGTTTGCGGAGGTCTGTTTTACACATATCATAACTGCATACATAACATATATATATATATATATATATATATATACATATAGGTATATGCGCAGATGTACACGGTGTATAGGGCGTTTTCGGGTGTATGGGGCAGTCGGTATGGTTGTTGGCGGTGGGCCACGTTTTCGTGTTCAGAACGTTTGTGTGATTCCACGTCGTGTAGTTGTATTCAATACCAGGAAGTCAGGTTTAACCTTTCGCGGTGTGTGTGTTTTCATGTCTAAGTCTGTGTAATTATACAGGTTATACCTGCAACTGTACATATGTATGCATGTATGTATGTACGTATATATATATATATGTTTATGCATGGATGTAGGTAAGTCTGTAGGTACGGGTACGTAGATAGGTCGGTAAATGTATGCATGCATGTATGCACATATGCACTATACAATACACACATACATGACACATTTGCGTACTTCATTTTATCAGTGCTTACTTTGCATACATCGGTTCTGCAGCGTTTGCACAGAGCTGTTTTTGCAGACTTCGGATTCAGGGTTTCGAGTGTAGGCTTTGGGCTTGGGGAACTATAGGGGCTTGAATAATTACCTATAATTACTATTTTGGGGTGTTGATTCTTATAACTATAGTATAATGGGCCCCAAAACCCTATTCTGATCATTAAGGCCGCTGTATTATGGACTTTGTGGCGAGCTGCGCATGTGTTTTGGCAGACAGGTGTTTGGGTTTCAAGGGTATCTCATGGGTGCTTGTTGAGGCAAAGAAAACTTTAACCCTACACCGAACCCTAAAGCCTCAACCCTAAAGCCTCAAACGTGCGCACTCCTCTCCGCCGATCATGGGTTAGAGACGTACAGACGAAAGCACAGTTCTCAGGAGTCAGAACTCGACAACCCCGAAGGGTCCATGTACCCATATAGAGATACATGGGCCCCAATGTACCTATATAAGGACTACATTAAGGCCAATGTATATACTATATGAGTAGATGGACCCTTAGGGAACATGCAAGTTCCCAAAACGTCCTCAGAGCCCCCGTCACCCGCCCGGGTCTCAGGTACTACAAGCAGGAAAACTCTGTTGAGTACTGTGAAGCTGTGCTGGCCCCAGCTTGCTACCTTGCGCATGTGTGGTTCGGCACCATGAACGAAGCTGTGCACGCAGAACAACATTCTACATGGCATGCAGGCTGAAGCCTAGATTTACGGTTGTACAACTCCTAAACCCTCAACCCCCTTAAAGGGAGCCCTTAGAAACTCACGGGTTCCTGTAAAGGAGACCCTATTATGTTGAACCCTATAGTACCCTTTGAAGCCAAACAGTAGCAATGCTGGGGTTTGGCGTCATAATATATAGGGGCCAGCATTAGTGTTTAGGTTTAGCGCTCCACTCTCTGCCTTTTCAGGCGCATGGGCAGAACATTCAGCCAAGTCAGATCTTGACTTGCGAGAAGGAGAGGGTTTATTTAGAGTGTAGGAATTTTGGTTTAGGGTTCAGGATTCAGAGCTTTAAGTTTTGGATGCAGGGTTTAGGATTTAGGGTTCAGGGTTTGGGATTTTGGGTTTAGGTTTCAATGTTTGGGGCTTACGATTTAGGATTAAGGAGTTTTAGTGTTACAGAAGGTACTTCAGAGTATCAGTGTTTGCATGCTTGCTCAAGGTTGCGCGGGAGGATTGCCTTTCATTCATGCTTGCCCCGTTTTCTGTAGAGCATGTGAGCCACAGGGATGCGTGCATTGGGGATTGTACGTGGGGGTTAGCTCGGGCTTGCTCCGGGTGAGGGATCGCCGGGCTATGAATGTTTGTCCTCCAGCCTCCAACCCACTGGTCTTGGGTTTAGGGTTTTGTTGATATGATTCATCTGATTCGAATGCTGGCATGGGACGTGCGAATGTAACAGCCAACTGTTCGTCAGCTTGAACAGATGACTGTGGCACGGAAGCGCAGAAGCTACCATCCGTCATTGACGAGTATCTGAGAATCTGGTTTGACCTAGCGCCACTGAGCTCCGAGAGGATCTGTTCATTATTGCAGCGTCCAGGCCGGTGACTAGCTGGTTTAGGCATCCGGCAGCCAACTGTCAAAGGTCGAAGCCCATAACCCTACTTACAACTACCCATGAACCCATAATCCTACAGTACTATACCCTAAGCCCTAAACCCTGTAGATCCCTTTAACGGAACCCTACTTAGAACTACCCATGAACCTCCAAGTACAAACTCACCCCTCAACCCTTACGCCGTAAAGCCTGCTGGGCCGCAGAACTTCGAACCCTTGAACCCAAAGGGTCCTATGTACTGTTATGGGGAATACTTCCCCAAATCATAATAGTAATTCCTCATATAGAAACCCTACATTCTACTATATCGGTACTTTGGAGCCTTTGGGAAAGAACCTGAACCCTGGAGGCGTCTCTAGGACTCTACCTGTAGTCTCCATTGTGGCTCTTTTTGGAGGTTACCTTGTAGGATCCTAATTATCGATTTGGTTAAGCCAAACAAAGGAACTACACTGGAGACTACAGGCAAGAACATTAACGTAGTCTAAACTTAGTTCCTGCGTCCCAGATCGATGATTCGCAGTCATACATAAGCCAAACCCAAAGGGTCCAATGTACCGATATAGTAGAATGTAGGGTTTCCATATTAGGAATTACTATTATGACTTAGGGAAGTATCCCCGATAACAGTACATAGGACCCTTTGGGAAAGAACCTTGTGACTGACAGCCCTGAAATCCTAAGCGGAAATGCCTAAATCCTAGACTCCTCACGCCAACCCGCTAAACCCCAAATCCCAGGCCCCCAAACCTTAATCTACAAAGCCATAAGCCCCATAGCACCCTCATAGAACACCGAAAAAATTTCATGAGTATTGTGGAAAACGATGAAGATCCCATGAACTTGAAGCCAGCATGAACGCCCACCTGGTGAAAGGAGTTCCTTCCCAAAGTGGATTTCAAGCTCCAGAAGCCTACGGTTCACTGGTTCTTGCAGTGCTATCTCGTCTATGCAAGGCTTCTTCCTGTGGGCAGAGGGAAGCGTTTTGAGTTTAGGGTGAAGCATTGCAGGGTTTAAGGACGAGGTCTTGACAAGACCCCCCAAGGGAGTGCTGATAAAGGCCTCATAGTCTTTTTATGCGTGTACTTCGGTGATAAGAGCGGGTTTTTGCTTGGTCCGGTAAGTTGCTGAAGCGCCCACAAGTGGGCTTGATGCCGTCTATTTGTTTTTCAGGCTGTGCTTGCGCTAGCGTCTTGAACCCTAGACCCTAAACTCCATGCCCCACATGTTGAAACCCGCCTTGAGGTTACGGTAGGATGCACCCTCGAGTTCCTCTTTGTGTTTGAGAATTTAAGTGTAGTGCATGGGGGTTTAAGGTTTATGATTGTAGCACGTTGCTTTGCATGTCAGTGGTATCTTGCTGGCTTGTACACGTCCTTCAAGCTGTACGGAGCCGCGCTCAAGAGCGAGCACAGACCTAAACCTGAGCTTATGAGTGAGTTCAGAGTTTCGTGTGCGAGGCTGTGTCAAGCTGTCCGAATTATGGACTTTCTGTGTTAAGTGTTGGTTTCAGGGCTTGACGGGCTTGGGGGTTAGGACGTTTTCGCGCTTCACAGTCAAAGCCCTGAGTGTCTTGGGTCTAGGCATTTGGTGTTGTTGAGCGTTTTGCCTGACACTTTCTTGGAGTGGTGACACAGGGTCTGTGGTTTTTGTGGGTTGGGGTGACTTGCTGCGGTAGGGTTTCGGCTTTGCCGAGGGAGTTCGCCGTTGATGGCAAGCCATAAAGCCCGAAACCCGAAACCCCAATCTCGAAACCGCAGGGCCTAAATCCAAGGAGCCCAAACCGTTAGCTCCGCCGATTGACCCCCAAAGACCTTGGATGATGATCAATGGAGCCGCCTCTTGCCCTCCCTTCAAACTTCTGTCTGGTAGCCTGGAAGATTATCCCCTGATATCCCCTGTGCACTTCTACTGACATTCACCATTTAACGTACCCCATCATCGAAGGAGGGCACCCAAACCCTAAGTCCCAAACTCCTGCTATTGGCAGAGGTTCAACGCCAAAGACTTGGTCGGGCGAACATCGCCGAAGACCTGGGCAACCCAGGGGGCGTGTCTTCGGTATTCAGCAAAAGCTAAATGTTAAGTTCTGCTGCCTGGAAAATTATGAACAACATATATATATATATATATATATATATATATATATTTTTTTTTCTTATTCAATAATATGAAACATAACCTTGCTTGCAAAACGATAGTTTTTCATGGTCGAGACTTCAGTGAGTAGTGCATCCTTCCGGTGTGGGATTGGGTCGCGGCTTGGGCTTTCAGTATTGATTTGTAATTAGGATGCTATAAGGTAACACCGAAAAAGTAGCTACAACTTACCTTTAGTTAGTAGGGAATCGAAGAATGGTAGTAATAGTAGTTATAAGTGTACCTCATTCCTCCATTCCCTACTAACCAAAGGTAAGACAATGGGGACTATAGGTAAGCCCGAAAGGGGAGCCCGGACTTTGGTGCCAGATTGCTTGAAACTTGGGTTAGACGACCCGGAATCCTGTGAGTGTGAGGACAACCAATCTAGGGTTTCTTGTGATCTCCGTGATACCGAAAAGTTTGGTCTGTTTGAACAATACTATTCTGCGATAGGGCTCCTCATTACCAACATATTGTTGTGCCCCCAAATGCTGTTCTTCTTCGTACTATGATTACTACCTTACTAGTGCTATTACTACTACTTGCACCGGTAGTATTACTTTTCGTTATTAGTACTGTTATTATAGGGCAGTGTCAATGCACGTATGTTTCAGACTACAAACCAGGGCCCGGAAATCAGGTAGGGAAACCCCGAAGCCCGCGTCTTTTCACGCGCGCCAGAACGGTAACATGCTTATGCTTAGTTCTCTACTTAGGCTCCCTCTTAGGGTCCTTGTCAGAAGGGTACCGTAGCGTTTTGGCGACCAAAAGGGACTTTAATTTATAGAGCTATGGGTCTAAGTAAGTAATACGTAGTAAGATCTCCTTATGTCGTTATAGCAAGTCTTTTGCACGAGCATGCCTGGAGCCCCATTGTAATCCCCCGGTATATAAACCCCGAGCCCTAAACCCTAAAGCCTAAACCCTGTCGTACTTTTCTTCAGGTTAATTGTGGCTCGCGGGTCCTCATCAATTCTCTACCTACCAGGTATTCCGACTGTAGCAGGGAGGAAAAGGGCCAGAACAAAAAAAAAAACGGGCGCGAACTTTGCTCTGAACCCCGACACCGCCGCCGCACCCTCAATCCAAAAGCCCTACAGCCTACCTGAAGTCTCCATTGTAGCTCACCTTGTAGGATCCTAGTTATATATTCGGTTAAACCAAGTAAAGGAACTACACTGGAGACTATGTGTACACCCTCAAGCCCTCAACTAACAGGATTCCCTGGCTTACGGGACGGAGTATAAGGAATACATGGAGAACCTTAGGGCCTCGAGCAGAATTTGGGATGATTGTGACTTAATTAAAATCACAAGTTAAGATACCATTGAACCCTACGTGCAGGTTCATGGGTACTAGTACATCTTGTAGTTCTAAGTAGGGTTATAAGTAGGGTAACTAGTATCACCCCACCTATAGCTACCCATGAACCTCCAAGAAAACCCTGTCGTGCACATTGAGCTGATGGTGAACAGTGAGCTGAGGGGTGCCGAAGTCTGAGGTGTAAGAGTTTGGAACGGTCCACTATTGGCCCACTCCCTTTCCGCAAGGCGGATTCCGTCCGAAGCCAGGAGTGTTAAACGGAAAAAGGGCTTTAATACAGGGGCCTCAATAATTACCAATACTATTTTGGGGTTCCCTATTATGAGTATAGTATAACCGGCCCCAAAACCCTATTCTAATTATTAAGGCCCCTATGTTAACCGAAAACAAAGAAACCCCATGAAGCCTTGACCAGAGCATACCCTAAACCCTAGACCTTAAACCCTAAACCCTATAAGAACCCTAAAACCCTAAACCCCATGAAGCCTTGACCAGATCAAGGCTCCTTTTTGGGTACCCTAAATATTAGGTGCCGCATTATAAGCAGGACCCCAAAAGGGACCCAAATACTGACAACCACCCATTTAAAGGAACCCCTAAAAAAGAACCCCTAAACCCTAAACCCTAAAACCCTAAACCCTAAACCCTAAACCCTAAAACCCTAAACCCTAAACCCTAAGCAAATGAACCCCGTGAAGCTTTGACCAGAGCAAGGTCCTTCATCGCCGACCTGATGCTGTTGGACTTTGACTTGATTGATTTTATGTCCGGGACCTGATTGGTTTAGGCGTTGTGTTTAGGGTTTAGGGGTTTAGGGTTTAGGTTGTTTCTGGACGGGTTTTGCGGTTGGTTTTTTTTGTAAGGGTTCTACTTGGAGGTTCATGGGTAGTTATAAGTGGGTTGTAAGTAGTCCCTGAATATGGGTCGGTTCTAAGTATAGCTACACGACTTCTAACCCTACTTATAACTACACATGAACCTCCAAGTATGGATCGGTTTTGGAATTTTTTCGGGCAGGAGGTATTTATCCCGGCAGTCTGTGTTTAGGTTTTGGGAGTCTTTGAAGTCTAGCTGAGCGCAGCATCACCTTTTAGCTCCAATGGCCATCCACCGCTACTCTCACAGGCAGGAGCTACGAAGGTCAAGCTTACAGGCGCAACTTGCAGATGAGCAAACATCCATCGATGCAGCTTACATGATACAAAATAGAACTAGAACGTTCTTCTTGAGGGTTTGTGATTGTAACTATGCGAGAAATCAACCCTCGAACCCCATTCAATGTTGGAAGACAGCTAAAGTGCACACATTCGTAGGACTGAAGAGCAAGGACTTACCGTTGAGAGGGCAAGATGGACGTGCAGATGGATGAAAGTATGGCCTTGGGGTTGTTGAAGTTTATGGATTGGAAGTTCAGGTAGGGAAACAGGTGCCCTTGACTCACAGTCGCACCAGTCCTTTAGGTTAAGACGCACCGAAACCCTAAACCCCCTATATAAACTCTAAACCCTAAAAACCCTAAACCCTAGACCCTAAAAACCCTAAACTCTGAACCCAAAACCCTAACCCCCCCCCCGAACCATAAGCCCTGCATCTCCTTCAGACATGAACTGTCCAAGTTGAGAAAGCGGGGAAGGAAAGGTTCCCTTTATGAGACACCTACACCCTAGATCTTAAACCGCAACAACCCCTCAGCCCGAAATCACGAACCCTAACAAACCCGAACATGTAGCCGAGATTTACATATACCCATACTTCTTTTAAGTTCTTGAGACATGTCTGGATATACATGTAATCATGAATCCTTAAACCCTCAACCTTTAAAGCCGCCATATACGCCTATTATGCGACATGCCGGATACAGCTCAGGCCATCTTTGAAAGCGCAATGTGCGTTGCTCCTGGCCGTTTTCCTGGTACAGGAGGTCCCTTGCTTTGGGGCTCGGTGCCTCCCAGCGGTATATATAGCTTTCGGGATCAACTTGTTGGTTTACGGTCTAGGGTGATGTAGGGGTTGAGGGGTTAGGCTTTGAAGGTTCATCATCAAATTAGAGGTCTTGAAACATCTTCGGGGTGCTTCGAAGATGGCACAAAGGGTGTCAGGCTCTTTGTGGGTGTCGTGGTTTAGATCTTTTTGAGCTTCGCGGCAAAGGTGCAAGGGTCTCCCGTTAACGAGCTATATGGCGGGTTGCTTGGGCTCCACGTCTCCGGTTCTTGCCTGGGCTTCAATGGGTGTTATTTAGGTTTTGAGAAGTGAATGGCCAAGAAGTTCGGGCTCTGTTTTATTTGAAAATGATTGGTCTAGGGCATACATGTGCGGGAGATGGCATCGGAAGTTCTGTCTGGCATGGGGTGAAAGGCCAACGGTATCTGGTTGTATGGACAGGCTTTGGTCATGTGACGTGAGCCGAACAGTGTCGATTTGAATTGAACCGAGCCTCTTCCCAGAGCCGAACAGTGTCGATTTGAATTAAACCGAGCCTCTTCCCTCATCCCTCTCCAAGCTCAACCCTGAACCTGAAACCCCTAGGCTCACCCCAAACATCTGAACCCTAAATGCCCCAGCAGCAAGAGCAACACAGGGCTTCTACGTTCGAAAGTGCAGCCAACGCAGCAAACCTTAAGCCCCGGCCTCTATCTGCAAAAGGGCGATAACATGGGTGCCGGAATACTTACTGATCATATTCCTTAGCACTTCTGAACGCAATCATACCGGCTGTCTGTCTACCTATCTATCTATCGTAACATTGTATGCATCAATCTATTTGTCTTCATGCTTACGCACACCCAAGCATCTTCTCCAAACTAAGAGTGTAGACCCTTATATCGACCACCGGGGCCGTGCACTCGCAGCTTGTTGCGATGGCGTGGAAGAATGTAGCAAAACTACGTATCGATTTGGGATAACTGGATAACTGTTACTGTTCCTTCTGGTTAATAGCTTTTAATATATGAGGCCTGATTACAAGTAATTTTGGGGACTGACTCGACTATAGAAAAGTGTGTGGCTCGGGTACCGAAATAGTTAGGCACGTATCCATACATAGGGTTATGTTAATGGTCCCTTTTATTTTGTATGGCTTGTAAGGGTTGATATCTCCCTACCTTGTTTACATACCTACCTGTATGCATCGATGTGCATCTAGATAGATAAATGTGGGTATGCCTTTATCAAGACCTTTACATTTAAAGAACTCGAAGGTATGCTCAACTTTGTGTACGTGTCCATACAGGTCTGCTTGTGCGTATGATGTATCTACATATCACACACGCACACGCACGTTATATGTCTACGTGTACATGCATGCCCAAGAACAGAGGTGCTTGTTCCCTTATCCTTGCATCCTTGGCTTCAGGAGCTGAAGCAGAGGCAGCAGGAGGCTGCAAAGGACAGCCGGTGCCGCGGTGTAGGGTTTAGGCATTTTCGGCTCCTCTTTGCCAGGATTACGTAACATGAGAAGCTGAGCGCTGAGAGTTAAATGTGGCCTCTGATGATACACGTCTCTCTCTCTCTCTCTCTCTCTCTCTGTTTCTTTCTCTTTTTGCCCCGATGTTGCTAATTACCTGCCTCTGGTGCTGTTTGTGCTCTCGTACCTCTCCGTGTCGGCCTTACCCTCAGCGGTCCCACATCTTCCTGCTACAGTTTTGCTCTTAACCCTGGCTCCTTTCCCCCCGACAGCCAGACTACTGTCCCTCCGCCCTTGCGAAGAATCTTCTTGCCGTCGATCTCTTACAGACATAATATGACGATGTGGTCTTGCGTGTGTAGCTTATCTGGCTTATAGTTTGTTCTTGCAGGCGATTTGTGACCTACTTGATATGATGTGGGTTTCGGGTTATTTTAGCTTACAAGTTGAGGACACGGGCCGTGAAATCAATCTGCACAACAGGTCCTCAGCCTCCGCTCCGTCTGATTGTTTAGGCGCCTATCTCAATAATAGACCACCTATAGTCTCCATTCTTGTTCCCCTTTGGGGCTTACCTTCTAGGATCCGAATCATGTATTGGGTTGAACAAAGAGAAACTACAATGGAGACTCTAGGTACTGGCAAACCCATACTGCCTTATAGAAAACTTATTCTAACTATTTGTAGTTCTGCTATCCGTAGCCGTAGCACTTAAACCCCAGTCTTTCGTCTGTTTTATCATCGTTGCTGCGGCCCCTATACTAAACTACAAACCTCCAAACCCTAAATCCTAAACCCCAAACCCCTAAACCTTAAACCCTAAAACCCTAAACCCTAGCCCTAAACCTCCTAAACCCGAAGCCCTGAAGCTGAAAGACAGTTCTTTCGAGTGACTGTGACAAGGACGGGAAGACCTCGTCCTCCGATAGGCCCTGGGGTTCAGGGTTTACCTTAACCTTAACCCTGAAGAACCTACCTTTTTAGGGCTCCTTATTATGATTTGCTTATATAAGTCCTTCAAAAGGTAGGATATTCAGGGTTGAGGTAGGGGTTTACTTTTTGAAGCGCTTAGGGTTTAGGGCAAATTGAGACAAAAAACCCAAGTTTCCGACTGATAGGGTTTTGACTGGGGTCCGAGGATTTGGGACTTGCCGTTTAGGGGAGGTGGTTTAGGGCTTTGGGTGTAAGGTTTAGGGTTTAGGGGTGCGCCGTTTTTGGGGTTGAGGGTTTGGGATGCTGAGTTGTCAAGGGCTTTAGGCTGTCTGGGCGGTTTGCATGAGGCCTCGAAGACTTTTACGGGTGGGGTCTGCAAGTTTTCCTTCAGTGTGTACGGTTCCAAGGACAGCTTCTGCCTCCTTATGTACAATGTTGGGACAAAGTGATGCAGCATGAGCCAAGTATGTCTGCACTTTATTTCACATTTGCGCATCGGAAGCTTGTTGATCCGAGCCAAGCGTGCGGATGTCGGAGGGCGTTTGACAATGGCGCCTCCCTGCACTTCAGGGCTTCCGACTTGGCGAGATTGAGGTCTCCGATAAAACCACAGGATCATGGGCTGACGAGTTCTTGGTGTCTCGCTCTCGCTCTTGCTCTCTGTCTCTACCTCCCCCCCTCTCTCTCTCTCACCCTCTCTCTCTCTCTCTCTCTCTCTCTCTCACCCTCTCTCTCTCTCTCTCTCTCTCTCGCTCTTTCCCTCTCTCTCTCTCTCTCTGTCTGTCTGTCTGTCTGTCTGTCTGTCTGTCTCTCTCTCTCTGTCTGTCTGTCTGTCTGTCTGTCTGTCTCTCTGTCTGTCTCTCTCTGTCGCTTGTACTTTCTCGTATTCTCTCTCTTTCTAGCTAGCTCGCTCGCTCTCTCTCTCTCTCTCGCTCTCGCTCTCGCTCGCGTCTTCTCTCTCTCTCTTTCTCTCCCTCTCTCTCTCTCTCTCTCTCTCTCTCTCTCTCTCTCTCTCTCTCTCTCTCTCTCTCTCTCTCTCTCTCTCTCTCTCTCTCTCTCTCTCTCGCTCTTTATAACTAGTAGTTCTATCTAAATACATAAACACATGTGTCTGTGTTTATTCAGATTTATACTAATGCTGTGCATGTATCATCTGTAGACGGTTTTTTGTATGCATACCGTACATATGCACAGGTATATGATGTATATATGGATACACAGATAGGTAAATACCCGTGCTTGTATTTTGGTACATATATATATATATATATATGTGTAAAAATATGTGTATATATATATACACATATGTGTGTGTCTATACATGTTTTAATTATCTACGCAGCTTAGATAGTATGTTCGCCTGCAAGTATGTGTGTATGTATGTATTTATGTATGTATGTATGTATGTGTGTATTCATTTAAATACAGCGGCAAATATCTGTATCGTTATATACTGATCAGTGTGTATATATATATATATATACATGTATATATATATATATACGCATACGTATATGCATATATGCATTCGTGAATTTATGTGCGCATGTGCATGTACGAGCGTATGTATGCATGCATCCACGTACGTGTGCATGCATTGTATATAGCCAGGTATGCATGTGTGTATGCACGTATGCATGTTTATACGTCTATGTATTTGTTTATGCATTTATGTCTCTATGTATGTGTATAAGTACTGTGCTTGTGCATACATACATTCGTGCATGCGCACATAATCTGAGTGTCTATGTTTTTTTTGTTCACAGGCTTCAGTATATATATATATATATATGTTCCTGCATACATGCTCATGCGTATGCATATATATACATATATATATATATATATATATATATGTGTGTGTCTTTTGTTTACATCTATCTATTCTTGTATGTTACGGTACCCGGTTGTCCTCTAGCGTAACATAATATGCTGTAGTATTGTGTTTCATCACTCTGCCAATGCACATGTATGTACATGTATGCTCAGATGAATATCCTTCTGCATGGAATTTTACGTGTGTACACCATATGCTGCTATATGATGTTAAACAGTGTTGCCATAGCATCATACTGTAGAGTGTTATATTGTATCGTAAGACAAGGCATTTAGATCATATTGGGCTATGTAAATCATATCTTTCACTACGATCTACGATGTTTTAGTTTTTTCTGTTATACCACATTGTAGTATAAAATGTTAATGTTTCGGTTTGTGTTGTTCATAGCGTATTATGTGTTAGCATTTTATGTCTAGTAGAACTTACTTTGCGTTCTATTAATTTATAGTATGTTCTGATACAACATGTCATACTGCATCATGCCAGGTTGCACTGTATATCGAAATGCAGTGCGATGAGAAATGCCAATGCATCGTATTATACTAAGTTTTAGTTGTTTCGTCTAAGGTAGCCTATTTATATCTACTGCAGTCTGTGCTATGTTTCTATTCTGCGGTATCCTATTCCATCTCGTCGTATTTTATTACATTGTGTTATGCTATGTTGCCTTAGGTTGTATTATGCATAAGTATGATGTTTTCACATTTTGGTATTTTGTTTTGTCTGTTTACGTTGTATGATCGCATACTCAGCATAGTTTAGTGTAGTTGATGGCGTTGTGTTAGTCTATGGTACGTTGTGTTGTTTCTGTCATGTCGGGTCACGACATGGTATGTTATGTCATGTTATGTCACATTCTGTTGTGTTTCACGTAATCGTTTTTGTTATGCTACCTTATGCTACGCTGTGTGCTGCGCGACTAGGGTACATGTGAATTACGTAATAGATTTTGCCTTATGTCGCCGTTAGGTTCTGTACTATGTGCTTGCATATATACATCTAAATTTATATGTTCCCCCCTTATACCCAGACTGAGAATGGAGCACGTGCAGGCAGCCGGGCAAGCCTCGCGTGGGAGGTGGCCTCCCGTTACGACCTGAGCTTTTATTCGTTTTGAAAGTATGCACGCACTTCTTAATGACTACTGCAGAGGGGATGTATCTGCATTTCGTAACCATGGCACCTCAAAACTCCGGCTTTGGTGGTGCACCGGCAATATCACAGGTGCGCACAGATCAAGCCCTGAATCCTGTGCCCGACACGCTAGATTTCAACTTGGCCCTGATCCAAAACATTCACGGTTAATGACGAGCCAGAAGCGTAGATTCCAGCCACGAAGCCCGAACTTCGAACCTGCAACCCCAAACCCCCACCCATTCCCAACCGCGAAACACATACAATTCCAGGTCTCTGTCTTGTACACAGTGGCTGGAAAAGGGAGAAGGAACTGTACTGAAGCCCAGAAAAAGGGATCAGTTTCTTGTTTTAGCTGTTCTGGTCTGACCCCGAGGTCCCTGTGCCATTGGGATTCCCACATCCGCGAAGCGGCTTGTGCCTCAAATCTCGCCGTGGACGCCTGGATGTGCTTGCAGGCTGACTGCGCCAAGGGCTTGGGGTGCAGAGTGCAGGGCTCATGTAAGGTGTATGGTGTAGACTCTAAACCCTAAACCCTAAACCCTAAACCCTAAACCCTAAACCCTAAACCTCTAGGGGTTTAGGGTTAAGGGACTTTCTGGTGTTGGCGCCTTACGGCTTCGCGATGTGGAGGTGTGCCAGGTCCAGGATTTCTTTTCAGCGCTTTTGAGGCTCAGGGTTTAGGGTCTCCATGTTGCGTAGGTCTTGTGCTTCCACATATTGCATTGGATTTGGGCCTGCAATGCACTGCATGGAACAGTATTGGTATGCACTTTGTTCTGTTTGATTGGTACTACGTTGCCTCTATACTTGGAGGTTCACGGGTAGTTACAAGTGGGGTTATAAGTCCCCTAATATTGGTTATAAGTATAACCCTACTTATTATAACTACCCATGAACCTCCAAGTACAACTCTTGTCGGATGTTGGAGTTACAGTCTACAAACCCCAAAGGGTCCTATGTACTGATATGGGGGATACTTCCCTAAGTTATAAGAGTAATTCCTAACATGGAAACCCTACATTCTACTATATCGGCACATTGGACCCTGTGGGAACATCAACCCGCCAGCAACTCTACTTAGAGGGTCGGGGGACTTAGTAAGTAGGTAGTAAGTAGACTTATAAGTACCCTAAAAGGGACCCTAATTGGGGTTATGGTACTTATAAGTCCCTAAAAGAACCAGTTACTAAGTCCCCCGACTCTCCAAGTATGGGGGCACCTCAACGCTTGAATCCTCCAGCTTCACCCGCCGAGCCCTTCGCCTGGGACCCAGAGTGGCTAGGAGGGCCCGGTTATTACTATTATTATGATTTCTGCTCTTCTTCTTGTTGTCACAAATAAATCTAGTCATTCTTGTCCGTATCATGATTAATACTCTTGTTCTGTATGAACACGCACACACACAAAACTCAGAACAAGAACGTCAACAGCTAGAGCGGCTGTATCAGCAGGAATTACAGCACGACAGGTGGAGGAGGAAGTTCAGCAAGTGTCTCGTGATCTGATTCCTGGAATCGGCATTCTTAAGCCAATCCGCTGAGATCGCACATTCCGGCTCTGACCCTAAACCCTGAATCCTAACGCTAAAGGTACTTGTATGGCCTGTCTTCACTTGGGCAGGCAGTGGTCAGAGCTCTGGTGGACAAGCGCCGAGAATGGAAAAACCTGAAATTAAATGCTGTCGGGACCTCAGGAGTTGTGACACAGTTTGAGATGTAGGGTTCGTGGGCCCTTGGGTCTAGGGTATTGGAAGAAGCAAGTATGGAAGCCTGAACGATTGGCCATGCTATCTGCTATTCCTTTTGTTTCCTTATTGCTCGAATTATTTTATTCACTCTGACTACACTACTACATTAACATTCGCAAAACAACCTTTCTCATTGAGAGCCACTGGAACCCAGGTGGAGACAAAGCACGACAAGCTTGCGCGGACGCTGGCCTATCCTGAAAGGCCCTAGGAAAGGGGGGGGCCAAGGGTCTACTGCAGGAGCCAAGGGTTTGGGGGTTTTCGGTTTTGTCGGTATAGAGCCCTACACCCGAAACCCTAAAACCCCAAACGGGGTTTCATGTTTTGGGCAGGGCCTGAGCCGTTTATGGTTGCAGTGAGCCAAGTTGTCCCCAAGCTACAATGCACAGTCGCAAGAGACATGGGAGAGGTGGTATGTCTTCATTGATGTGGAATGCAGACGGGGCCTCTAGGCAAGGGTTTGGGCTTTAGGGTTTGCATGCTCTCAGTTGAGAGTTTACGGCATTATAGTTCAGCTTGTTGGGTCTATCAAAGGGGAAAAGGAGGGACCCTTAATGGGGATCCCTACCCCATAATGGACTATATAATGGGTATATACTAGCTGTATTAGGGTTAGATACCTAGGCGTCCTTATTAAGGGTCCCTCCTTTTACCCTTGGAGCCGAGGATCTTGGGGTTGCTCTTCCCCTGCGCCACAAGCCCGAAATCCTAGGCCCTACCCAAAGGCCCCAAAGTAGTTCCTTTTTGGGATTCATATATAGAATCCTATAAGGTAATCCCCAAAAGGAACCACTTTGGGGCCCTTTCCCAAAACCCGACACGCTCTGATGCCGAGCTATGGTCGTCCTAGTAGCTTGGGTGCTTGGTGAGTACCTATGCAACAACAGCATAGCATTGACTCTCGGTCCCCCAACATCTCTTCTAAGAGGTTATTATGTGCGTATTTTTGCTATCGATTCAAAATCCCTGCAACCCTAACACCCTGAAGCCCGAAGACCTCAAGCCGGAAGCCCTCAAATCATGCCCGTCTTGCCTATAGTCTCGATTGTAGATCCTTTATGCAAAAAGGAGCTACAATGCAGAGTGTAGGTATATCCTTTAAACCTTGGGTTCATGTCTAAGCCGCACAGCCGGCTGACAGAGTCGTGGCGTCAGGGGTCTTGGGGTACAGGACACGTGACTCTGAGGTTGAGGAGTTTAGGTGTACCATAGACAACCATAACCTACCTGTTCGTGGGGTCTTTTATAAACCCTTTTATCGAGTTCGTGTTGTAGCGAGCTTGCCAAGGGTAGGTTTCGGTAGCTCAAGGTATAGGCTATGTTCGGTGTAGGGTTCTGAATGTTGGAGGTTGAAGCTGTCTTGAGGGACAGGACTCTGCAGGCCAAGAGGTGTTGCTTGGACGTTGGCTACCCTAAACCGTAGCCCCTAAACCCTAAACCCCGAGCCCTTTAATTACGCCCCGAACCCACGTATTGAAACCTGAGCCCAGAACTCAAAGCATGAACCTCAACCCTAAAGCCTGAAATCCTCCACCCTAAACCGGAGTGCTTATGGCAGGTTCAGATTCCCAACGTCACAGCTGGTTCGTTACATCTTGCCAAATACCCAAAGAGGGCTCATTCCTGAGTTTTTCCGGCCTGTCTTGAAGACGTGCTCGGGGCTAGGGGGAGCTCTTGCAGTCCCTAAGGGTCCATGTACCTAAACAGCATATACATTGGCCTTAAAGTAGTCCCTATATAGGTACATTGGGGCCAATGTATAGACTATCTGGTTACATGGACCCTTAGGGAGTTGCAGGGTTCTTTTGGTCCAGGGTTTAGGGCTTCGAGTTCGGGGCCTTTGGCTCTGGCTGTAGTAAATTGTAGGGTTTGGGGTGTCCGGGGCTTGCAAGACCAGAATCCTAGACCCGAAGCCCTACTTGGAGGTTCAGGGGTGGTTATAAGTGGGGTTATATGCAGGGTAACTATACTTATAACCCATATTAGGGGATTTATAACCCCACTGAAAACTACCCA